TCAACCTGGCATTGGGAGTCGTGTCTGGAGTTTCAAGGCAAGTATTTGTATCATTTCTAGACAATTTCTATTTCTGATCAATGTTTTGCTGTTGCCATGGCGTTGTAAATTTATTTGTATTTAGTATAGCTTCACTAGTACGACCAAGTATGTCCTCATATCGCTTTTTTGTGTTGAAATAATCGTTTCATACTGAAATTGACAAATATAAATGGTATTTATTTATATTGTTGACGAAAATTTATGGTGTTTTAGGCATAAAAATCTCTGATTCCTAGGCGAAGTAAAATGAGCCTTGAGCACATGTTTGGTTGTTTGTTACATACATAATAGCCAAGTATTCATACTTATATCTTACTAGTTGGCTCTTATTATAATTTTATATGGCACCATGTCTATAAAAGTTTTTATTCGCACTGATGAATATATTGATCCTGTTCCTATCTGCTGTTCCTGTTTCATAGCCTCAGGGAAGTAGAGTTCTGATGAGTCATGAGAACCCCACTCACCAACCCAGAGGGAAGGTAGGGGGATGAGTAGAGGTAGAGGGAAGCCCAGCCATTAGGACCTAAGGGTTCGAAAGCTCCCTGTCTAGCATCCCCACTAGGCCCCATAGTACATGACGGATATGATGATCCTGACGCCAGGAATGTTCTCCCAGATTTTGCTCCTCACTGACATGTCCAGGATCCATTTCGATCAACTGTGAGCTTGGGTTCATTCGGCTCAATGAACTGTGAGCTTGAGTTCATTTGACTCTTTTTTACTAAGGGAATGCTTCAGGAGGTAGTTTCCTGGCCATACCAATACATATGCCCACATACAAATAACTCAAAAGTTATCCCCATATACTAATAAAAAATGCTGATTGCCTTTTAGTATAATATGCAGGTTTGCTAAAGGTCGACAGTGAGATTGAAAATTATTGGAGTGTAAAAACCTTATATCATGGTCTGTGGGCAATAGACATAATTTCTCGGGTTAGGTACAAAGCGCTTATGACGTTTGTGAATATGGTAGATCCTGTACTAAAGACTACAGCAATAAACTGCATCAACAACTGTACCAGCCGTCACAGAATATTGTTGTTGCAGACAAACACCCTGTCAAATCAAGAAATAGGTTGGGGGTTAGGCAGTTCATGAAAGCTAGATGACCTACTATGTGGGGAATAAATCTGTGGGTTGCTGCAGACAATCCTAATGGTTATATTGCGACTTTGAAATTTATACAGGAAGAAGTCCAGATATTCATCGCAACAGATTTGGGTATGACGTGGTGATCTGATATCAGTTTGGTTACAGTCTTAGGTCTTTTGTAGTACAATATAAAGGAAATATTTTCACCACATAATCCAATTATGTGCTTTGGCAAACATTACTGCTTTAGCAAACATTACTGCCTTGGAAAACATTACTTTTTTATAACTACTAATTATGATGATGCCAGCCCAACAACACTTGGTCATGCTATTTGCAAATATTTTCATGTTCTAGATTGTGAAAACAATCAATTTCTAAACAAATGAGTAGTGATTATTTCAAATTTGAATAGCATGACCCAATTTTGAGGCTGGTTATGCTACTAATAACTAAAGTCAATAGTGTAATGATTATCTAAGAATGTATGTAGTAATTGTAGAAATAAAGACATTTTGCTAATCATGATTTGAGTGTTCTTTTGTGGGTATCACAGACTTATTTTGGTGCCATACTATCTTTGGAGAGTAAGAAATATTGGAAATTTGTATTGATAACATGTTGCAGCAATAAAAAGGACCTTTGATAAAGGTATTTGTTTCATGTGAGCACAAAATGTAAATTTTACTCCACTACCTAGTTTATATAAAAATTCAATAAAAATATTTCTATTTATGCTACATGCATGAAACTTCGGGTACTTGTAGATCATAACCGTGTCTTTCAGTCATATTCATAAAATTTTTTGACATATTTGAAATTTGAACCGCTAAATACATTTATGCATAATTGCAACATTTTTTTATATCATAATTTATGCAAATTTATGCGAGTAAATCGTTAACCAAGCTCCGGATGAAATTGAAATTGGTATTGTTGGAAAGCAGAAGTCCTCCTCTTTCGAACGATGCAATTTCTGTTTCCGTGCGATGTATAATTTGAGAGATATAAGCGTTTGAAACAACACCACTCGAAATTGTTACTTTTCGACCGGATGAGAATGAGTTAATGGATTGGGATTATTTTGCGTAGCGTCGTTATATACTTCGCTCTTTCAATATTCGAAATAAGGATGGCACCTCTCAACTAGCTTTATTCTAACTGCAGTAGTCTTCAAATCAGTAATCAGCCTAGTATCCTCAATCATTTCTTTGTCTGACTGAGAGAAGACTCGATCGCGTATAGTAAATCTTTCTCCAAGCGTGCATGATGAGCAACAATACTTGCTTTGAAACATTATCTTGCACGTTTTCAGCTTTGCTTGCATTTGCTCTTCAGGCTAAAGACCTTGTTACAATTGGCCCCTATTCGTCGTGGTCATCAACAATTGGTACACCCATGTATTCGCCTGTATCATCCAATTGCTTTATATCATCATGATACATGTATACATACGGACATATTCTTCATCTTGTTGCAAACGTGGATAAAAGTGTGAGATCTTTCATGAGGAAGAGAGTTGACTTTCTGGACACATTTATCTCATAAATATCAGTTATACCAGATAGTCTCAAAACGATCTTTCGAGTTGAGATGCATTGATCATCGAGTGCGATGCTTGTATGTTGCTTTGTCTGCTAACACTTTAACAGGATGTTCTTGATGTTACTCTGAGTGTATATCCACACCAGGCAGGCTGAAAAATTAGCCTGACCATGGTGGGAATCAAACCCGCGACCTTTGGGATAGTAGTCCGCCCGGCCTGGACTAGTATCCTGGCCTGGACTAGTATGATTCAGCCTGCCTAGTGTGGAGATACACTCAGAGTAACATAAAAAACATATTCACCTGAGTGTATATTCAAAACACATGACAAAAAATATACTTTAACAGGAGGCGCAAATCCAGATTGTGGTAGTGCATGGTTTTTCAAATAATCTTTGACAACATCAGCAACAGATTCCAGAAATTTCTGTAAATCTCTGTTTAAGCTGTTTGATTGATAGGTCGAAACTGACACGTTCGTTGGTAGGGTCTAACCTGTATGCACGTTTGAAACGTAAATTAAGACTTTTAATAAAAACATTCGCACTTCCCAGTTAGCAGCTGCCTGTAAATGCTTAAATGGTAGTGCTTACTTTACAGAATACAGTGTAATCGTATTTACGTTTTCATACACTTTTATTCTAAATCTACTCGATAGCAATTTGGAAATATAACTTTAACTACATTCACTTCAAAGTGTTGAACTTAAAATACATTATGAACAAAAAAATTTCCTGCGAGATACAAAAATATTTCCTGCGAGTAATTTTTGTGAAAAATTTCATGGCAGCGGTGCTGCCGGCGCTGCCGGACATTTTCCAGCCCTGTATAGGTCTTTCAAACGAACAACGCCGATTTGGTTTAACAAACTAGTGAATAACAAAGATAATGATGTTGAGAGCTTTCTGGAGGCAAGAAAAAAGATCTTTGAAGCAGCCACGACGCACAGCCTTTTTGACATAATAAAGTTCGGGCAAGAAATAAATAAAACGAACCTGGCAGATCACATAAGATATTTCAAAGAACACCTCAATGACTTGTCCAAGAGACTTTCGGATATCTACGCCATTTATAGGTTGTTGGTGCACGAGGTTGGTATACAACATTAAATTGCACGCATTTTTTACAGGTTGAATTTCCATATTGGTTGAATGTCAATTTATACGAAAGTAAAAAATATTTTGCATATAGCTATAAGACTTATTGAATATTATGATCAGTGAGAACTTTTGATATTCTTCAGACCTTCAGTTGGTTTTGAACAATATATACATTTTTAATATTATATATTAATGTATATTGTGTATGTATATGTATGTGCATGCATGTGTGTACATGTATAGGTAATATTAATAGTATGGTAATTTCGAGTGCAATTTGGAAAAACATGCACAAGTCCGAAGGACAAGTGCAATTTGAACTCTTTGAAAAACTCACAAGTGTATGTTTCTTTCGAATTACACGAGAAACCATACCATTAATTATTAATAATATACATGAAAAAATTATGCAGTAATGTGAGTAAGTCACATTTAGAAATTAAGAAAATTTAGAAATTTGAAAAATAAAAAATTAAGAAATTTGCACTGTATTTCATTTTTTGGCACTGTATTTCGGAAAAATTGCACTGCTCTTAGCCAATCAGAATTGATAATTTTTCTTATATAAATTATTAGTATATGTATAAATGTAGCTACGTATGTATATATGCTGAGTCATTCTAAGGAGAAGTGGAATATTATGGTTCCTCTCACTATATAATCTATGAAAAGATTTTCAGTGGGTGATTCCAGCTATAGACTAAATTTTGATCAAGGCAAGAAGAACGAAATCCAACATCACAGCTAGAAAGAGCATCTTAAAATGAGTGGAACGGCAAAGTTAAGATTGGTTGCTAAATGTTGTAAAATGAAGAAAATATAGCCCTGTGAAGTTTGCAAATTTTGTATACATTTGTATTACGCGCGGTAAAAATAACCAATTTCGGCTCGAAAATGGTTATTTTTCAATGCAAATATATACAAAATTTGCGAACTTCCCAGGGCTATATTTTCTTCATTTTACATTCTACATTTGCACTTTTACTCATTTTAAGATGCTCTTTTGAGCTATGGTAATGGATTTCGTTCTTCTTGTCTAGATGAAATTTCATCTATAGCTGGAAAACAACAGAAAAGAAACACTTTTTATTGGCCTTGTTTAAGAACTCGAGAGGTTAATGTAAATCATGGCGTGTTGTTCAATTTCATTTTAATATATATGTATATATAGATAATAAAATGTGTCGATGATGAGGAGATAGTTTCCCTGGAAAATATGGACAGATACTTGGTGGACGAATTTTTCCCATATGTGAGGGCAATTTATGCTGTGAGTATGAAAACATTCACAAGCGTCGAGGATGTATTCCACCTTGTGATGCACGCTGTGGAAAAATTGCACCTGACAAAAGATGACGTGAGTATATAATAGTAGAAAAGGTTGCCCTTTGCAAACTCTAAACCTTAAAATCTAAGCGCATAAAGCTTAGTGGGAGCGCAAGTTTCAAGCTTAGTGGTTGAATATTGCAGCTATATTTGTGAATGAATTGTTCTCGTTTAAGGAGATATTACCATGTCTCTTGGAAATGGGCTCCATACTGTACATGATTCCTAAACTGATTAAATTATGCTCCCGATATGTTTCGCATGCTTAGATTTGATAGATTATTATTATTATATTATGGTCTACAAATATTTCTTTTACTTGTAAAGGTTGGTCAATGGATGAGGCCAAAGGTTAAAGCAAAGAGGAGCGCCCAATTGTTTATCGTATTCATTGTGCACAAAGCTTTAGGTGTAATCGCTGAGGCTCAATTGTCCGATCCACCAAGCGACAGCAACATGTGTGAGCTGGTTGCACAAGTAAATGGCCGAAGGGAGGAGTTTAAGTCGAGTTTTATCAATCAGCCAACAAAAGTCAGTTGCCTGAAGGTCTCACGGCATATATTTACGAAAGATTTACTTGACCAAATCGACAAACGTACGGAATTTTATTTAAAAAAAATAAAATAAATCAATAAACCTTCCTTAGAAGGACCATCTTTGAAAGGGCTATGCTAATCATTGATATTTTCCTGGTAAATTATATCACTGAACCATTTCCATAAATCTGGTAGCTGTAAACCCTGTAATGTAAACAAACACTTTGTTTTATACATTTTGAGGTTTGCTATATATTTTTAAAATATGATATACTAACTGAATATCTAACACACTGGTTCACTATGCTTGTAAATGAATATAAACTCTACGTTTCAACACAGAGTAGAATAAGTAGATACATACAGAGGTGTAACTGACCATCGTAAACACTCCGGAAATTTGCGTTTTCATGTAGCCACTTTTTTTCAGGCGACCGGACAAAAAATGATCAACTGCGCGTGTTCGGCAAGTTCCGTGAGCGGTTAAAGTTAAAGTGAGCCGCAATCCAATGGGATGCATACATCTAGTAACTTGCTGAGCATGCACACAAAAAAGAGGGTGCACTAGTTATAACTCTGTATATGTCTCTACTGATCTACTCTCTGTGGTTTCAATTCAAAAAATTTGAAAGATGCAAAAGTTGGGTAATGTGCGGGTCCTGGTCCCCATTTGTTATGAGCAGAACTGATGTACAGAACGGACTTTACAGCATCTTTAAATTTATCTTGATGTAGTTTTTGAAGGTGAGCAACCACAGGAGGAAGGTCAGCAGGAATGTCACAGATGTAAGACCAAAGATTTTGCAATTCAAGAAAGAGATGAGGAAATCAAACAACTAAAGGACATGTATGACTCAAAAATTAAAAGGCTTGGTGCAAATTTGGAAGCACAAGTCAAAGAAAGCGAACGCCAGAGAGTAGCTTTCGAGAAAAAAATATCTGACGTAAATGCAAAACATGGACAGGCCCTGAAAAAGGTGGAAGTGGGCAAACAAAAACAGATAGAATTCAGAAACAACTGCAGTGGAAATGTTGCACAAGCATTTTCTAGTATTTCGCATGGTGAGTATAGCCAAAAAGACACTGGAAATTATGAAACAAATATATATACTCACGACTTAAATTGTTCCAATCTAATTTCAGACATCCGAGAAACCCAAGCATGTGCCGGGTCCGAACCAGCCATCTCGCAATCACTTGATGACTCTGGTTAGTTATATCATTTGGTGATTTTTTCAATTTTAGTTAGAGCCAGTGAGTTTATATCCAATAAATAGCTATCGCTCAAAACATTAGCGAAAACAACTGCTATTTTTGATAGCACAGTGCCTTATATTTTTGGCCTTTTCCCTTTATTGTCTTTGTAGCACTAAAACGTTTTATAATATGCGTTTATTATATGGCATAAAAATGACAAACAGGGATTCGGATCTGCATGAGTCCCCTGGTTGACAAGCTTTCACAACATTCTAGCCCTGGGCAAACTAGGAAACATTGTTGTGGAAACATTGTTGTGGAAACATTGTTGTTATACCAATGATATGCAAATTGGTATATCACCAAAAAAAATTAAGATACAAATCCATGGCTTAGTTCTCTGCAACGTAACCCAGGGTTGAGGGTTTCAATCCCACTGAATGAATGAGTGCAAACACCAACATTAAGATTATTAAAGATCTGACCTGATAGCAATGGTCTTGATGACATGTCAAGCAATGCTAAAAAGAGAAAACTCAAGTTAATATTACAAATTCCAATACACTATGCTGCTTTAAGTCTGCAAAATATGGACCAGTGCTTGAAATAATGTTCCCAATGTTCCCGATCATGGTGATTGTCAGTCATGACTTTCCCTGTTTTTCAGTTTGGAAACCCTGTTTTCCCGCCAATTATAAGCAATTCTTGCCAATCATTGATCGGCTGTTATTTCAAGCCCTGATGGACATAGCAGGTATATAAACATAACTAAGTTAATAACTAACCATCTTCAATAGTTGTATCTGTTACTCCACAAGCTTTAAAGAATTCTTTGGTCTTTGAGGGATATCCAAGGGCCTCCGCTTTCTCACAGTGCATTTCACAAAAGGCATGACCACTTTTAGGGGAAAGTGGACAAACACTCGGATAGTTTACCTTCCCAAAACCTTCAATTTGAATAGGCACTTTCCACATGCAGTGTGAATATCTGAGCTTCCAGTTACCATCAGCAACATAAAGCTGGCCACAACCTAGACAGGACACAAAAAAAATTAACATTGTGTTATAATACAGTAATGCAGAGAAGATTGAGTTTAGCTGAACAGTTGTGGCTCTGGGGCTGCTGCCTCCCCCCCCCCCTCCCAGGGGGAGGCTGACACCAAGATGGAGAATGCATAGTTTTTCTTGTGTTGTGAGATGAATTCAAGCCACAACAGTAGAGTTTGAATTCATAGCGTTTTATGAGCCTAAAAAATCCCTGAAAAAAAACGTAAATGGGTTAACAGGGAGCAAGGGCAGATAGTCTGATTAATCAATTGAGTGGCAGCACTCTCGCCCTGACAATTCAGGCCTTAGATGGAGTAAAATAATAAAGTACTTAGGGCGTATCTGGGTGCATTGCCACTTAAAGGGTTAAATGTGTTGTTGGGAAAACAAAGCTCTTCCACTACTTTACCTTTTTCTTGACAATGTGATGAACAATTGTGAATATAAAATTCATCACAACGTTTCCTGTCAATGAACTCCATCACATCATCGATTGTTCCTGTGAAGGCACCATTTCGCTTTGCTGTGAAAATCCACTGTTCACGCAGACCAAGTGACAAAAGTTCTAACTCTGTCTCTCGGTTCCAAAAGCATCTAGCAATTGCTTTTGCCAACATCTCTCCTGGTAGAATACCTAGATAGCATGACGACTCAATGTTACTACAAAACACTAAAATGGTGGAATTGTCATTTGCAGTATATTAAAAATTTAATCTAGAACTATATGAAAATAACAAGTTAACAATATGTACCATCACAGAGATGTAATAATACTGCTGGGCATATCAAGAATAATTTATACTGTGGTCAATGTTATTTGATCACTGAAGCAAAGCTGAATCACATATGCCAATATCAATCTCAGTTGTTTTACTTTTTTCAAAGATCATAGGCCACTGCATAATTTGATTCATTATCATTTGTATTTTCCTGAGACAGTCAACTTTATTTTAAATTAAATTAAATAACAAAATAAGTGAAACACTGAAAATATCTGTAGTCATTATCTGACATACAAACAGCCAATGCATTAAACATTTAAATATCATTGCAATATACTGCGACTTAATGGGTTAATTAGGACCAGACTTGTTAACCTTATGTGCAATCATATATTCATATTACAAACTGACAAGTAGGCAAAGTGGAAAATACTGTACACTGTAGCACATAATTTCCAGTGAGAAGACTTAAAAGCAGAATTTCACACTATGCATGGTGTTCATCTCATTTATGGCTAAATTTAATATTGTTTCAAGAAGTTTGATAAATATAAAGACTACATATGTTATTCAATTTACCTTTAGTGTCATCAGCACTGCTTTGTTCATCCACTAGTAAACCTATATTGACAAGAAATAAAAGTACTCAGGTAGATTAATGCATGGGTCGAGTTTCAGCCAAGGTCGAAATATGGGTATACCAAGTTGGGCACGATTTTTAAAAAGAAAACAAGGTTAGGTTTAACTTGTCATGGTTTAATGTTATAGATTTTGACCTGGTGAATTTTTTACTGATTTTTATTTTATTATTCGTTCTTCACATGAGCAGTTATATAGCCTTAAACGTCAATAAACACAGGTTAAATGGAAACCCATTGTGCGGACTCATAAAATCGCTTTCCCCAATTGCCATTTTGGTTTAATGTTGTACATAGCATCTTGTACTAAACGAATCTAACTTGCTTTGTTGTCTAGATGGCTAAACAAAGTAAACATTTTGCGTTTTATGTCAATTTATTCCGTAACTGTGCGTATTTATTTAAATATAATTGAATATTCGTGTTAATGTAGGTCTAGCAAGTTGTGACTATCAAGTTTGTGTTGTGCTTTATCTATTTAGCATGAAATTATCGTTGCTTATGTATTGTAACCTTGTCCGCAAAACGGGCGAAAGTCATAGTTTGTATCAAATATAGAAAGAAAGCTATCGCCATTAAGCCGCATTATTTACGACCAGCAGGAGTCCACATTGTCGATTATAATTAGTTGCGCAAGACGCAGGTCAATACAAATGCAACAATTTCATGTTGTATTTCATATTATAAAGTTGTAGTTTCATATTTTATTGATAAGAAATAATCAAGACGATGTTTGTGTACAATATAAACATGAAATCATGGGTATTCATCGCACTTGTATGGACTTGCAGTCTTGCGCAACTAATTATAATCGACAATGCGGACTCCCGCTGGTCGTAAATAATACGGCTTAATGGCGATAGCTTTCTTTCTATATTTGATACCAACTATGACTTTCGCCCGTTTGCGGACAAGGTTACAATACATAAGCAACGATAATTTTATGCTAAATAGATAAAGCACAACACAAACTTGATAGTCATAACTTGATATACCTACATTAACACGAATATTCAAAATATATTTAAATAAATACGCACAGTTACGGAATAAATTGACATAAAACGCAAAATATTTACTTTCTTTAGCCATCTAGACAACAAAGCAAGTTAGATTCGTTTAGTACAAGATGCTATGTACAACATTAAACCAAAATGGCAATTGGGGAAACACATTTTATGAGTCCGCACAATGGGTTTCCATTTAACCTGCGTTTATTGACGTTTAAGGCTATATAACTGCTCATGTGAAGAATGAATAATAAAATAAAAATCGGTAAAAAATTCGCCAGGTCAAAATCGATAACATTAAACCATGACAGGTTAAACCTAACCTTGTTTTCTTTTCAAAAATCGCGCCCAACTTCGTATACCCATATTCCGACCTTGGCTGAAACTTGACCCATGCATTAATGTACCTAAGTATGTGGAAATGCCCTGCAGCAGAGAAAAAAATCAGTGGCAAATCCCCCAACCTGGGGGACCAAGAAGGGTTACATTTTCATGTCACGCAATCACAATTGATTGATTGGTTTGTAGGTTAGGGATAGGGATTGTATTAGGTTTCGTGATTGTGTAACATGAAAACATAACCCTAAGAAGAGTAGGTTATCCAACTACCTGAAATAAAGAGAAAACTTTATTCGATGTTTCGAGTGAATACCCTCTGTTAATATATCAAGTACTGTACGTCATACTCTAGCATGTTTTGCTGTCGTCATCATGTCATGCTCTAGCATGTTTATTTTTAAAGTTTGCTGTGTGGTTCAAATTTATGCGTTTTTAAACTACAACTTGACTGGTTTATATTTTATTAAATGTTCTGAAACTGTTTTATATTATTATCAAGTTATTGGTGATTGTAAAACCTCCAAATCCTTAATTTCAAATGACCCACCCCCGGGTAAAGGTTTGAGTTCAAATGCCCAACCCCCAGGACCTGCTTTACAGGAAAATGTCCCGGGGAGGGAGGGGGGGTAGGCACGCTTGGATTTGACTGATGCATTACACAATGACAACACAGAATAATAAGTACAGTAAAAAGTGGAGGGTCTAAACTGCAGGTTGCAGGTTAATGCAGGTCAGTGCAGGTTGGTCTAAACTGCAGGTTGCAGGTCAGTGCAGGTTAATGCAGGTCAGTGCAGGTTAGTGCAGGCCGGGTAATGGTCATGTACTTTATCCTGTGTTGCCCAGTCGGTTTGACAACTGGCTTAACGTCATTACATGGGGCCAAAAAATCATGTTCAAAGTAAGAAAATAGCATCCCGGTATCGACGATAACCGACGATAATAAAGCAATCTACAAACAGGCCACAATTTTTTAAACATTGAATATACCTTAAGGCCTTGATACACTAGGGAAAGTTTCCTAAACAAAGTTTCTGAAACATTTTTTTAGGTGGAAAAACTGCAAGAATGTGGACTCCAAGGAGATTCATGCTCAAAAAGTGAAAAATCTTCCCAGTCATTCAAAATAAAACAAAAGGTTTAAGTTTTTTATGATAGGAATGAAACTTGTTTCATAAAAGTTTCTTTCGGAGACTTTTCCAAGACATAGTGTATCATCAGACTTGCTCCAGGTCTCTCTTTCATTGTCATATCGATCCACTATAGTGTACATTACATGACGTAGTACGGAGGGGCGGAGCCGGAGTGAGAAAGAGAGACTTGTGAACTTCAGAAAATCTCGGTTCAAAACTGAACTGAAAGACTTGCTTTAATTGTTTTCTGTCAGCATTGATCTAGCTAGCACAGTGTAAATAACATGAGTTCCATTATAGTAAATAATACAGAAAGAAATTGAAGGAAATTAGGAAAACAATTATTGTCAAACCAACTGGGCAACACAGGCTAAAGTACATGAACCATTACCCGGCCTGCATTAACCTGCACTGGCCTGCATTAACCTGCATTAACTTGCACTGACCTGCATTAACCTGCACTGACCTGCACTGACCTGCAACCTGCAGTTTAGACCAACCTGCACCGACCTGCAACCTGCATTAACCTGCAACCTGCAGTTTAGACCCTCCGCAGTAAAAAGAGCCTGACTCGTCCAAAGGAAATGCTTGAAAACAATTCCATGGTAGCTTCTGAATATACAGTAAACAGTACACCACATTGTCTGTATGCCTTTGATCTTGGTATATTTTGCATGCTGTCCAATACCGAATTTGAGTCAGCAAGCAATGAATATTGTAACATGTGAAAGTTGAAAATACTAACTCTTTGTTAATGAGGCATATACTTTGATCTCATCCTCATAAATCTCATTGTATGCTTCAGCAAAGCCACTGAATGACACCCAACAGTGATTACTAAAATATTGAAAAACACCAAAAAAAACTTAACACCATAAACGTTCCTGTTAAATAATGTTAAATCTCAGTACAAGTAAAACATTAACTGGCTGTTTTATATGACCAATGTGATCATCAATACTACAATAGGGTATTCAAGTTCAACGTGCAAAAAGCAAGGAAAAGCCTGTGTGATATTCACACTCGTTTGATGGTTATTTTGCAATGGGGGATGTAGCAGTAAAAATACTTGGGAGTTTACTTTGAACCTACATTAAGGATGGCATCCACTTATATAAGTCCTGGTGAATATATGTCACGTTGCTGACTTTGATAATGTTAACATTGAATTCCGTTGAGGAATAAAACCGAGATCCATGCTTGTCTGTGAACTTGCAGACCCCAAAGTGTATAACGCAATCTCTACAATCCAGAGATATCTTTGAACAGGGAACTGGACCATTCAGTGTAAACAAAACAGCTGTCGATGGATTGTTTCGCATGGACAGTGCTTCATTACATTCAGTGCACGTGGAAACTGGCGGAGTCAAATATTTTTCTATCTTGCCCAAATCTTCATCCGCTATCTTTTCTTTCTTGCTCATAAATTTGGGACAGCAATTTTTGAGAGCGTTGCAATATAAAGATATTTCTTCCAGTGCAATATCCAACTCCGGTGACAGACATACAAGTGTATTAAAGATGAATTTGTGCCGCATGGATGTCCCTTCTACAATACGGGTTACATTTGCGGGCACATGTTGTATCGCTTTGCGTAAGTTGTAAAGACCTTCAATAGTTAGTTTTACTCCCAGCACGTGCAGGATTTCGTCTTCTGTTAGGTCGTATTCTTTCCTAACAATGTCTTGAACATTTACACCATGCACATTCACACCGGTAAAAGTTCCCTAGCTCGACGAGTTTGTTCGACTTTCGCATTCGCGCTCGCACGCAGCACATCAAAATCAAATTTACTACTAGAACTCACCTTTCTTTTTGCCATCAAGCCTGAGTATGTATTTAAATAAAAAGCGCTACTATGCTTCCCGAAACATGACCGAACCACGCTGCCAAACCAAACATACGCATCATGTGGAAATGATCGATGACACGATATATGACACAAAATAGTCGATATATGCAAGCCTATTAAGTATCGAAGTACGATTTGACTTGTTTATTTACTGTATAGCTATTTTGATTTGTGTAATAACGATTGCTATATTACGATTTGACTTGTTTATTTACTGTATACCTATTTTAATTTGTGTAATAACGATTGCTATATATTGCTACTATGAATAAAGGCGCAAAATACTACGAATAAAGGCGCAAAATACTACGAATAAAGGCGCAAAAATCCCAATAATCTGCTTATATAAGCCACCAAAAGATTGGCATTGCCAATCTGCCATACCGTAGAGTATATAACCAAGTAAACATACTATTAAGTAAAGTAAACATAAAAAGCCAACTGTTATCGTCATTTCTGATGGTAAAACGCTAGCTGGCGAATGTAAAATGCTATTTTATAGATTTTCTAACAATTTTCCGTAATTGATAACAATACCACGATAGAACGCGTGCTTCAGGAAATTTGCATTAATTTACCGCTTATTATAGGCATCATATGGATCACTTAATGGATTGCAGAATGTTGTGTTCGGGACTGAATGAGCATCGTAATCTTCTTGGGAAAGAGGTTGATTAAACATAGAATAAAAATAGTTGTTTAAGAGATTTGCAGTTTCTTCCGGATTTGTTGCTGTAACAGTCCCATCATCACGCTTCCAGGTAATTTTGCTAGGAACACTTGATGAACTTGAAACCGATTTGAATAACAACCAAAACTGTTTCTTATTTGATTTCATAACATCCGGCAAGGACTGGAAGAATTCTTTTCGCTTTCAAGTTATAAGTGACTTACACGAATGTCGAAGGTCTCGGAAATTTTTCCACAGACTGCAACTCAAGCTCTTCAGTTTAGCTTTTCTTCTACAGGTATATGTACCTCAAAACATACACAAAATTTATGTTTTGAATAAAATTTGAGGAACAAATATTTTTGGAATTTTTCTTGTATTATTGTATACTCTCAACAGGTGAATTTTCTTCCCGGCATGTCAAAATATTATACGATAAGAAATCGAAGTTCTGAATGCTGTTTAAATGTGACCTGTTATACCAATATGTACCTCAAAACATACATGGACATTTCACCAATATTTTGAAAATGGCTACTACTAGCTCCCAAAGATATTTCCCCTTATCATTCATCTAATTTGTCACATTGACCGTACGAAAACGGCAAACGTATACTAAGATCTGCATTCATTGTACTACAAAGCTAGCACTATATGTACCTCAAAACATGCATACGAAAATTGGATGTTGGCAAGGTAAGGTAATTGGACAAGTGGAAAACAATGTATTTCACACATTTTAGGAAAGTGCTTGATACACTGTGCATCATAATCAACTTCTATGTACCTAACCATCCTAGATTTTCTGTTGGTAAATCTTATAGTTAAGTGATATGATGAATTTAGGGTTAAAGCCCAGGTCACACTACACAACGATAACGATACGATAACTTGTATACGCGCGCTGATTGGTAAAAAATTTATCGTTATCGTTCGACTGAAAAAAAAATCGCTCAGGTGAGCGATTTTAAAATCGTTATCGTCAAACGATAATTGTATCATTTTCGTTGTAGTGTTGACACTAACACAATTTTTTTGCCAATTATCGCGTGTTTACAATTTATCGTATCGTTATCGTTGTGTAGTGTGACCGGGCCTTAATGATATGCTTAATCAACTATACTCCTTCGTACATGAAGTATATTGCATTCAATGCATAAATCTGTAGAAATTGGGGGCTCAGTTAGCTATTATAATGTTTTTCACCAAAATGTGAAGGATTAAAGTGTAACTTGCCATGGCACCAACAAAAGGAAGACCAAACACACGTGCTGAAGCACGAGTTGCTCGCTCTAATATTAAGAAAAAGGAGGCCCAGCTACATGCTGCCGTTCAATGGTGCAGAGAAAATAATGCAAGGGGTCATGCTGCCCTGAAGACAGGGCTTTTCAATTTGATAAAGAGCAGAAGCACATCACTTGATGGCAAAATTGTAACTGGCTGTGAGAAGCAGTATTGCTGTATACTCACACACTTGGAAGAAGAGTCCGTTGTCAGATTTGTCAAGAATAAGAACCGTTGTCTGCAAGGAATCAACAAGAAACAATTGACAAACTTGATTCTAGACATTCTCAAGATTTGAGAATATGCAAACAAGAAATTAAAGGGAGGAAGGCGCTACACTAACCTGTCAGTGAATGCTAAGAGGGCTCTTCAAAACAAAAAGTTGAGTTGATCATTTTGGAAGAGGTGGGATGCAAAGCATGATGATTTACGAATGAAAAGACAGGCTACTATGACCATGAATAGAGCAATGAACTGTACACGTGACATGGCTTCCTCTCATCTTGATGCTTTGGCGAAGGAGTTAATTGATGCCGGCATCTTTACCAACACCAAGCAAGTTGCACCTGGGGTGTGGACTGGGCAAATCAATACCAAGAGTGTTTAACCATGATGAGACACTACAATTCATTAACTATGGTGTTGATGGTACACCAAATGGGCTTGTTTTTGCCTGTCGTGGTGAGTCTTGTAAATGAATGATAAACGAGAACCGTGAATGTGTAACCATTAACCCAGTGGTTTCTGTGTCAGGGTTTGTTTGCATTTGCCAAGTTATTTTTGGCACAACAGGCATCGCAGATCACATGGCTCCAAAAATAGTCGTTGAGAAGATTGACAACTTATTGATTTCAATAACAACTTATTAATTTCAAAAACAGTCTTTGAGAAGATTGACAACTTATTGATGTCAGGACCATACGTCACTACTGGCTTGCTACAAGTTGTTTGACAAGTATCTTGATAAAGAAAACCTTGAGCGACCTGTTGTTCTTACGAGTGATGGTCATTCCTCACGGTTTGATTACGAAGTCTTGAAGTTCTGTCTTGAGAAAAAGATCCGCCTGTTATCTCTCCACCAGACACAACGGGGGTCACACAACTTTTAGATCAATGCAACAGGAACATTCATCTAGAGTATAAAGTTGCAAAGGCCGGCCTTTTTACACCGACGATGAAAGTTAATAGAGAAGGGTTTATGTTGTCATTGGCTAACATGTGGGATAAATGGGCAACGCCGACGCTCATTAGAAAGGCTGCAAAGAGGGTTGGCATTTCACCAGAAGGGCTAAATATCAATGACATGCAACAGGATAAATTGCTGCAAACCTTGTGGAGAAAGCTGCAAACCTTGTGGAGTGTGAAAGGTCAGAAAACACACTTACACCCTCGTCTTCAGACAACGCACCTTCTTCCACCACCACCACACCTGCATCACCAAACCATCTTCGAAAAGGGTCTGCCACATACTGGAAGGCAAAGTTTAAGATGGCTCAGCAAACCATTCATGATTGCGACGAGAAAAGTATACGGTTAGAGAATATTCCTGGTCTCTTGACGATTCAGAAAATCAAGCCGAAACAGGCATCAAAATCTACACGAGTCACACAAGTTCATGGGTCGATGGAAGGGAAGGAGCTCATCAAAGTGGTCAAGAAAATCAACGAGGATAAGCAAAAAACGTTGCAGTTGAAGCAGGACAAGATAAAAGCAAAGGAAAAAGAGAAAGAGGACTTCTACCGATGCAAAAGAAAATGTGTGTGCAAAGAACATAAATGTCCGGCTACAGACTTGAAGGAATGCCCATCATGTCACTCTATTTTACGCTCCATTTGCAGCAAGGCCTGTTGCAAAATAAATGGCAAGAAACCAGAAATGATATTACCAGCTGCTGCTGTGAACAAGAAAAAGTCAAAATGATGTTGCTAACACTGAGTACAATGCGTTGAATGGTAATCTTGTCATTGTTAACGCCTTGAAACTAACTTCTAAAAAATAGGTATCGGCTTTCGTTAGATATGCTGTACATGTAGCACAATGTTGTGTGTTATTAAAAGTATTGTGTGCTTTTTGTGTGACATCATTCAATACAATATGTGATATACTTCGAAATTCTTTTTATTGTGTGATATTGTTTATTGTGTGATATTGTTTATTGCCGAATATTGGTTTCATGCATTATTGTGTTTTAAAACGTTTCTAAGCTTCATGTACAATCTACAAGTATTCAACATTTTGTACCTCCAAACATACAAAGAATGTGTTTTTAATGGTCCCTATATACCACTCAATTATTCAATAATGTCGACTGTTTCGTGAATCTTTTGTGTTGAGACATACTGACTGTATATTTGCCTGTTATAACAGATCAAACGTGCTAACTTATATTTAGGGTCACAGCATTTAGCAGCTGTTTCATGAAACATTTACTGGTTATGACAAAGCGAAAAATACCCATCCGCCCACATGTTGGAGTACAATATGATCATTTTCCCACTTTAGTCAGTTTTCCATAAAGATAAATATCTTATCAATAACATTCAACAGTCAGTTGTAGGCGACAATGTTAATTTACTGACTTATAACAAGTTAAATGCCTGTGTATGTTTTAAGGTACTGGGTTATTTTGAGGTACATATACCTGTAGCTGTTTCTTTTTTTATTTAACAGGTGGTGGATTTTGCTGTCAAACCAAAGAGGATATTTGCGTTTCTTAAGGATTTTGGTCGGAAGATGACAATACACAGCATTCATAAAACCATCGTACCAGCGTTTCCAGATTTTGTCGATATCCAATTTATCTGAAACTGTCGATGGAGAGAGATTTATCGATGAAAGAGTTCTATGCAAACCTTCCCAATCTGCTGAACGATAACCCAGAACAGTTCGCATGTCAGAGGAGGATAACTTGGCGAATACTTTGAATTCGAAAAAAAGGAGATTATGGTCACTAAAGAGGTCCATTGATTTTGGTAATACGCACAAGATATCATAGCCTGCGTAGCAGGTGGTAGAAGCTAGAAATACCGCCTGCCCAAAAACTACACATTCTGAGTTCCGCCCACCGCATGGTCCCGCCCATCTTAATGTATTTTGCACCAGTGGAAATATACGGCTTTGACGTTTCATATCTTCGGTTCATTCAATGCTATGAAGACAAAAATACCACGTTCGATTCAGTGTAACAATATGTCCTCATTGATAGCAATAGTTTTAGTCAATGTCAACATTATAGCGATTTATGAGCTTTGAAAGTGAAGCGAGTTCGTGTATTATCAAATTACACAATTTTCTGAACAAAAATATAGACTAGCCATACCTTTCGCCGAACATAACCTTCGGCCCCTTCGGATGCAACTTTGTAATAGTCTTGTTCCAATCGCTATCAAAAACACTACTTAGAGTGTCATTTACAAGCCTGTATCTTCAAATCTGCACTTTTATCACGGTATCACATCTATCAAGCAACAAATGTTGGATTGATATTCGTTGTTCATTCTTCAAGACGAAGCGATTTCCGATTCCAGATAAAGATTAAAGAATTCAACGCTTAATTCTCAATTAATACATTCGTTATTTTTTGGTTAGTGTATGCCATCACTCGATATATCGGTATCAATTACGAAAATAACAATAGTTTATATCATAAATACGGCAACAATAACTTATAAAATTAGCACTAAATATCTAATTCTTTACTCTTGTCAATCAAAAATTCTAAATCAACATTCTGACCAATCAGAATGCTCCGGTAGAGAACTCAGAATGTGTAGTTTTTGGGCAGGCGGTATTTCTAGCTCCCCATTCTCTCGTGCCCGCTCATTGACTCATAACTCACAACTCATTGACTCATAAGACTCACTTGAACATTAATCTCCGAAAGCTAATAGGGGCCATGTTCCCACGTTTTAATTGTACAGTATAAACCTTGATGCATATGTATTAATCAGCATACACGGGAACCCACACGTTTGAAGTATCATCACATTTGGGTATTAAAGGGCACAATTAAAGTATTAAACCACAGCAAAAGCAGAACTGCCAACCCTTGAGTAGCAGAAATAGTGATTTGCTATCTAGAAAGTCGTGAGATTGACTGAAAAATCGTGAGATTAGAAAATAATCTACAGATATTCAATTTTATGATAGTATGCATTTATATTTTGTTAATATACCCGTAAATGCAAGGCTTATTAAAAATAGGCTGTTTTTTCTTTATGGCTTTAGTAGCTTCCACTGTACAAAAACAAGAAAACTACAAGTAATATCACAGTGCCAGTGGTAATATTAAGACTTGCAAGACAATAAACTTAGCAGGACACGCCTTTTACTTTGTAACACAAACATCACACATACAAAATTCTGGCGTTGTACATTGCACATTATTAATACACTAATAAAGTGTGATGTTTCCTTGGAAGAGTGTGCCTTATTGTAACTAGAAATTACTAAAAGTTAAATACAATAAACCCAATATTTTAGACTCGTAACTCATTGACTCATAAACTCATTGACTCATAACTCACAACTCATTGACTCATAAGACTCACTTGAACATTAATCTCCGAAAGCTAATAGGGGCCATGTTCCCACGTTTTAATTGTACAGTATAAACCTTGATGCATATGTATTAATCAGCATACACGGGAACCCACACGTTTGAAGTATCATCACATTTGGGTATTAAAGGGCACAATTAAAGTATTAAACCACAGCAAAAGCAGAACTGCCAACCCTTGAGTAGCAGAAATAGTGATTTGCTATCTAGAAAGTCGTGAGATTGACTGAAAAATCGTGAGATTAGAAAATAATCTACAGATATTCAATTTTATGATAGTATGCATTTATATTTTGTTAATATACCCGTAAATGCAAGGCTTATTAAAAATAGGCTGTTTTTTCTTTATGGCTTTAGTAGCTTCCACTGTACAAAAACAAGAAAACTACAAGTAATATCACAGTGCCAGTGGTAATATTAAGACTTGCAAGACAATAAACTTAGCAGGACACGCCTTTTACTTTGTAACACAAACATCACACATACAAAATTCTGGCGTTGTACATTGCACATTATTAATACACTAATAAAGTGTGATGTTTCCTTGGAAGAGTGTGCCTTATTGTAACTAGATGTTGCGCTCTCGGATGACTTCATAAGTTCCGAAAATCGTGAGATTTGGGGACTTAATTGTGAGATCGTGAGAAAGCATCAAAAGTCATGAGTCTCACGATTAAATCGTGAGACGTGGCAGGTCTGGTAAAAGTAATGCGTGTTTTAGATGTCAAACTTTTCATTGGCTGAACTATTAAATACAAATTAAATAACGACTGAAAAACGCGGAAACGTAACTTATTGTACCTTTTGGCTTTAGGCCGTAGGATGAGCATCCAAAAGATGCTTAGAAAACGGATTCCGTTGCACCCCTCGTGTAACTACGTAATTTTCACACGAATAAATAGATAAAAACTTACTTTATCAGAATCCGTTGCTCCCCAAGCAAAACAGGTGCACAATTGGGAGAAAAATCCCTCCAAAGTTTGATATTTTCGTACTTCGAAATATTCGAACCGCCATTGTTTTGATAGCAAATACGCATGCGCAACTCACCCAAACTCGCACTGCGCACACACATAACCAACGCACATGCTTCGTAGTGGAAACATGCTCAGTTACGCAAATAAACATGGTTGAAGATATTTATAAAACTCGAATATCCTCATGTTTTATGCATTTTGATGGCGTTACGGAGCAACTTTGCAAAGTTAGACGCCAAAGGCTTAAGAAATTTCTTGAGTGTAGGTCAAAATGGGCCAAACTTAAATGTCAACAAGCTGAAATAGCTAAGAAATCGGTACTGTCAATTCATACATGGAGAAGAACCCTGACACCATTAACTTAGAATGGAACCATCATATGAAATGCTGGAAGAGATTTTGTGATGAAGAGAAGATCTGTAGATAACAGAAAAAAGAAGAAAAAGGAGAAGGGACTAGCTGTATTTAAAAACTGTAACTTCTACCGAAGAATCACACGTGGAAGTGGAGGCAACAGAACCTAGGCGAAAAATTACACGTCAATCAGTCGCAGAAGCTATAAATATAAAGGCTCTGCCTAAAAGAAACGCGCATGTACTCCCAGAGATATGTATTATTTGTGGAAGAGACGCCTCATGGTTCTCACTAGACAAGGTATGGTCATGTTGATAGGTATAATACTAGTGCAATGTGCACAACATTCTCAGGTTTGGTTTTAAAATGTATTGAATTGTGATCAATTAAATTTACTTAGGGTAAAGTAGTTTCTATGCTACAAACATCCAACCTTGTTATTAGTAGATATTTAGTTTAATAATTTATTTTGTTTCACACCAGGCAACTAAGAAGAGAAGAACCCCACTCATGTTGTCAGAAACAATTGATGCTGGTCTTCTATGTACAGCTGCCGAGAGAAAGAATGATCAACAGATACTCGTGCAAATCCAGGAGAAAGACTGTGTAGCTCTGGAAATCCGCTATCACAAAGTTTGCTACTGCAATTATACAATATTTCTCACCAGAGAGACGAAGAAGCAACAAGAGCATTGGTGTACGAGAAGTTTTATGATGTATTCTGTAAAAAAGTAATTGAGATGGAGGTCATCGGAAATAAGCAAATAAAGTATATGAAAGAATCAAGATTTGCTGGAGAAATTTGTTATCATTCCTAAGGACACTGAGAATGTGGATGCATCTAAATATAGAGCTTTTAAACTCAAGCAATGACTGATCAAAAGTTATCCCCAACTTGTGTTCTGTGTACCGAAAATGAGAAATGTTAGTGAGATTGTATTTGTGGAAAATTTGGATTCTTTTGAATTGGTTGAGGAACATATGTCAATTAAGGGCCTGTTTATATGGAAGTCGGACTGGCCCACTTAGCGAGACAGCCCGGTAAGGGGGATGAATTTCTCTTGTGTTTATATGGGAAACTTTCATCACGCTTGCCGGGACGATTTTGTTATATTGTATTGTTTTGACAGTTGTTAAAAATAGATTGCGGCAGTATCTTTGAACTTTCATCCCGGCAACCGGGATAGCCCTCTTATAAATGTTTATATGGAGAAATTTCCATCCCGGTAAGCGAGATCTAGCCTCTTGCAAACAAGATCTCGGCAAGCCCGCTTGTCCATATAAACACACAATAATTTTTACTATAAAAACAACTACACAGCAAGATCTCGCTTACCAGGCTGTCTCGCTTATCAGGCCGGCTTCCATATAAACAGGCCCTAAGTCTGAAAACAATGAGGAGGACTTTGATGAAGAGAGCTGTACCATTGATTATGATGTGAATTCCAACACAGAAACTGAGGGAAATTCTAAAGACAATGAGTTACAAATTCTATACAATGCTGCATTGATTCTTCACCAAAAGGTGCAAGAAATACCAAAACTGAATCTTCCTTGGCCACCTTTGGCATCTGATTTGACAAGAGATAATATTTCAAATCCGACTATGAGGTCAGGACTAGACTATATTTCAAGTCCACACAATTTGATTACGTCCGAGGCGAAGCAGAGGACTGGATCAAAATGTGATGACTTGAAATTTAGTCCAGTCCGAATTGGAGGATTTGAAATGGCATCCATACCAATAAATCACTACTTAGTTAATTTTGATCCAGTTCAAGGACTGAATTAATTTTAATCCAGTCCTAGGACACTACAGGATCAATATACTTCATAAGGGATGTAGTATTATCATGTGAGCAAAATAAAGCAATATGGTTGGCTAATTTGCTCATGAATTATTAATGATTTGAGGTGAACAATGGTGGTAATGCACATAGATATTATCAGTGGAGTAGATCAGTATTTATTTACTTATTCGATATTCTCAATCAAATCAACAGTATTTATATTATCAACACATATATCCCTCTCATGGACAGGGTAACAGTATGGTCATGTCTGGTCATGTTGCCAAGATGGTGGATAGACATATCTTTACAAGCTCTGTGTTTCTCCTCAGTTTTGTGCTATTTATTGGTTTTAGAACACTTGGGCTTAGTTCTGACTTATTTTATAAAGCTCATTCGTCTACAATTCATGTATTTGGCGAAGAAAACCGTCAAATTAAGTGGGAATATCAGCGATTTCTAACTGTTGACATTGATGAATTACGAAATGATGATGAACAGACTCAATCCCGAACGTATTTTGTCACACTTAACAATCCTAAAGAAAATGGTTCATTTGGTTATTACTATGGCAAAGTTCACTTGTTGACAATGTATATGTCTGAAGATGTAAATCGTAGTATCGGGCAAGGAATACAGCTAACTTTGTTATCGCAAGCTAATCCCGAAGTGTTGCTCAACCAAGCCCAACAAGCTCAGATTTGCATGTCTCTTCAACCGAATATTTTCATATTACAGAAACGTGTTGCAAAGGACAAAAGGCTAAATTGCAAGCGTCTAAAATCTCGCATTCAATATTATTCCAATTGTGTGGCAACGTTCCAGTTGCTGATTATTACCTGTGGAGATATTCAAACAAACCCAGGACCTTCTACAACTGAACCAACATCAAGTAACAGCCAATGTTATCGGCGTGTTTCTGCGGTTAAATGTCCAACATGTGAGAAAACTGTTCGACGCAATCAAAAACGTATAGTTTGCAATATTTGCAAAGACTTGTATCATGCACGTTGTATTGAGGCAGTTATATCACAACACATCCCATCCGACAAGCCCGTTGAGCAGACATGTGATAGATGTTTAATATCACTGCTACCCTTCCATGGCCAACCTAATTTAGATGCTTCTTTTCGACAAGAAACCAGTGACGATCTTCTCAACGACATGCCCGATGAACATCTCAATGTCCTCACTAGTATGGCTAACCAACTTAGGCTTGCACATTTAAACACACAAAGTATGGTGTCGACATTTGATGAGCTACTCGTCACCATTTCTAAATATCCATTTGATATAATAGCAATGAGTGAAACATGGCTAAAGAACAATCCTCACTTATTAGAATATGTTAACATTCCTGGCTACTCTAGCGCCTTTCGCAACCGAGATAAAATTTGTGGGGGAGGTGTTGGTGTGTATTTGAGGGATACTATTAACTACAAGAGGTGTACAGATATTGAAGACATCGAACCTGAACTAGAACACATATGGCTGGAAATACCTGGTAAAAATAAACACAGTAAGATGTTGCTCGGAGTATTGTATCGATCAGAGCGTTTACAGGACTTCCAAGCTTGGATGGACAAGACCGAAAATTTGCTAAGCCAGTTAAATGTCCTCTGGGATGGTCTACTTGTCGTCACCGGCGACATGTATATCGACCTGTTGAAACCTGAATTACCCCAAGTTAAGAAATATACTGATTTACTGGAATCGCTGAATCTTTATCAACACATTCAATGTCCTACTTGTACTGCTCCTACTTCTGCAACACTTATTGACCACATAATTAGTAATACCCCAAACCGTGTCACCTATTGTAATGTATTACCATGTCCTACAGTCAGTGACCATGATGTGCCTTATGTTTGCATTAATATAAGAGCTTGCAGATTCCAGCCATGATTTAAATTACTACGCGATGAAAAACAGTTTGATGAAAAAGCTTTTATAGGCAATATTGCATCACTTCCATTCAATATCGTTTACGGTATCGATGATCCAGATCAGCAACTAGATATATTTAACTCATTAATAAAAGATTGCCTCGACAGACATGCACCACTACACAGATCTAAAATCACGCGCCCGCCTGCACCCTGGTTAAATCACAGTGATGTGAAACAACTTCAAAAAGAACGAAACGAGCTCAGATATTTGGCTCACAAAACAAACCTGAGTCATGTCTGGAATAAATTCCGCGAAGTAAGAAAATACTATATAGACAAAGATTAAGAAGGTCAAGAGAGCTTTCTATCAGAAAGCATTATCATCAAAAAAACCGAAAGAACTTTGGAAAGTAATACACCGCATACTTCATCCCAATCCCAAACCTATAAATGCGGATCCCGACCAATTGAACAGCCACTTCAGCTCTACCTCGCAACGTCTACTCGGGTCAGTGCCGACTTCCCCAAGTGCTTTGCAAGAACTAGTAAACTCATTACCAGTCTGTATGTCCAACTCATTTAATATTTGTCCTGTTGCCCATAGTGAAGTACTGAATCAGTTAAGAACAATAAGATCTGACTGTTCAACAGGAATTGACCAGATTCCGGTAAAATACCTTAAGATGGCAGCTGATTAATTTTACTGCACCATTGACCTATATCATCAACGGGTTTATTGAAAATCACAGCTTTCCAGATGTTTGGAAGACTGCACGTGTGTCACCTATACCCAAAGTAGCCTCTCCGACTGAGTTAGACCATTATAGACCAATTTCAATTCTCCCGGCTCTTTCCAAAGTCTATGAACGCCTAATTCTAAATCAAATTGTAAAATACATCGACCAGCATAATGTATTAAACGAGAATGTTTGGCTTTCGTAAAGGCCATGCCACCTCATCTGTCCTATTACGAGCAAGGGACGATGTATTAAAGGCCATGAAAAAAGGAGAAATTACTCTTATTGCATTCGCCGACTTCTCGAAGGCGTTCGATACAGTGGACTTTGCCGTAATAATAAAGAAACTTCATGCCATTGGCTTTTCACACTCATCGTTAAATTGGATTCTTAACTACCTTACTGGTCGGAAACAGCTTGTTCAAGTAAATGACAGCCAATCTGAACTAGCAGACGTGTTGTTTGGTGTTCCGCAGGGATCGATATTGGGTCCCATGCTTTTCAACCTTTACGTCAACGACCTCCAAAATGATTTTACCTGCAGGTGCTTCCAATACGCCAATGATACAACAGTTTACCGTAGTTGTACTCCTAAAAATCTCAGTCAATGTGTGCAAGAAATGAATGACAACATACAAACTCTCGAAACTTGGGTCACAGAATCCAATCTCTTGTTGAATGAAAATAAGACTAAGCAGATGCTCATAAGCACTCGACAGATGTCAAGAACTCATAATCTCGGAGACATCACGCCACCTCTTACCATAAAGAATATATCCCTTGAGAGAGTTGAACATTTTAAATTACTCGTTACGTGGCTTAGTGAGGATCTCAAATGGTCACATCATGTAAAGGAACTTGTCTCGTCTTGTTATGGAGTACTTTCAACCTTGCGCAAAATTCGGAATATGACACCCCAACATACTAAAAAGCTATCAGCAGAAAGTCTTGTACTTTCTAAGCTAAACTTTAATGATGTCGTTTGCTATCCTCTCCCCGCATATCTGTGCAAGTGCGTCATCTCCGATGCTGTATGTTGAATTGATTGTATCATACATGTCAGCAAGTTTATCTGCTGTTGCTTCAGTGATTCCATCATCAACATCTTCAAGGTCATACACACAAGGAGCTTGAACCGGGATTGCTTGTCGTTTACCATCAATCATTGGACAGACAACAATGGCTTGATTTGTCACACGATGAACCGTTGATTTGTCTGCGGACACATAAAAATGAGGAGGTAATGATGTGGAGACCAGGGAGGTTGTTAAGTATTTTTCTGCTTTTGTATCAAGCCAGATCTCAGAAGCGTGGAGTATCTCAAGAAACTGCTTTCTACCATGCCCTATGTTCCCCATGTCACTGCCGGTAGATATATGCACGTTGGGTCAGCTTCCGGCGAAAAAGGCTCATTAACGGACCGCGATAATCGAAATGAGGTGACCAGCGGTTGTACGTATTAGTATTACAAATAAACAAAATGGTTTCCTCTGTATTTTTTACTGTGGACGAAGTATTAGACGAAGTTGCTATCGGAGAAGACACCGAAACAAAGCAAGTATCTGTTCGTACCCTGGACAAAGTTATTAAGATTTCTGCGGATCAGTTTAGCTGTTTACGGGATTCTATACCTGATTATTACAGCTTCCTTGAGGAAGCAAAGAAACAGTTGCTATGTACTTACCGTAGGTATGAAACCGGAGTTGGCAGAATGCAAAAAGTGTTAAAGTCTAGTACTCCTGCATGGCCTATGATTTGTTCAGAAGTACTTTTGTGGCTAAAAGGTATACACAGGCGAATGATGGTTTCTCCACGAGCACACAATCCGTGGAGTATTGAAATAAAAGTGATCTACCAGAACAAGTATTTCTACACATGCGAGATGCCATAAAGGGAAGCTCTACCGCATTTGGAGTGTCAGTCCTAACACACGAGCTAAAGTTTACACACAAAACTCGCCTCTTGCGCGATCTGTCAAAATTCTGTGGTGTGTCGTCAAGCGAAATCAGGGCAAGACTTCAGAAGAGTTTCGGAGGTAATCGGAAAGGATTTGCTGCAGAAATCTTGGTTGGGGAAACGAAGCCTTTCATCATTTCATACGACAAAAAGAAATATAGAATAACAGTATCATGTCGATATGGATGTTGGAATAATTTTGGATATGGATTTCACGAATAGAACACTTTTGTGGAAGTAACTAATGTATAAGTATTTGCTAATTTTGCTGTGGTGGGTAAGGGGGTTCTAGAGCATGTTCTTTTATTTTTAAATTTAAGTTTTTGTCATCATAAGGGCACAGCAAAATCTCTCACTCCACTATGGCTACACCACGGCATATATTTGGGTTATGTATTTTTATATCGGACAGGTCTGCAAAAGTTTTAGTTTAAGACAGAAAGATATCAACATACAAGTGTTAATGTTGTCGATTAGTTATGTATACTTTCCTGAATAAAAATATGCAGGCAATGTACCCAAACTTTACTCTGTCTAACACCAGACAATTTTACTTGTCAGTGGTAGAGTACCGCCAGTGAATGGGTTAATATTATCACTAGTAAATGGGTACCGTTATTAATACACTATTTGAGGTAGTGAATACAGAATAGTTGTGTAATACAGTCCAGGATTATATTGTTCTGTTACGGTCACAAGAGTAATAGGGTTGTAATATTTGGGTTAAAATCTGTAATATTGCTAAAATATGTTTTTGTGCACAACATAATTATACAGTCCTCTGGTGGTTATGGTGCACATTGAACTCAGGTGTTATAGTTATCTGTTCATGCTACTCTGCATGCAGACTCCGCACCAGGCAAGCTGAAAACCAGCTTGACCGCGGTGGGATTCGAACCCACGATCTTTGGTATGCTAGCCCGGTGTGGAGTCTGCACTCAGAGTAGCATGACCAAATAATTACTGTTGAGCCCCTGTTTAAAATATATATGGATTGTGTGCTTGCTTTAAATTATGCATTGTATTTGGTCATATTCACATTAATGCACTCGGCGACCATTTCTTGTGGGGTGGGGTTTAACCCATCTGGTGCAAACACTTACCCCTTCACAAGTAGAATTGTCTGGCATTAGATAAAGTAAAGTAACAAAGTAACAGGTATAAGGGAAAGTGTGGTGACTGGTGAGAGGTGTCAGAACTGGAGTAGGAAATTCAATAAATGTTCAGAGGCTATGGGCCATTTAATCATAACTTTCCCTGCATAATATGATATATTAACTTCTACTATTTTCCAGTACTTGGATTTACCAATCGGAGCTGGACAAATAACAAGAAAAACACTGAAGTTTTAAGAATTTTAATAATGTAATAAATATAACAAATTTCTTAAATATTCATAAAATTGAATAATCATCATAATGCTAATTGATAACATGATATAAAACATTTGACAAAACAACTTGTTACAAGCTTAATAAATTAAGTTAAAAAAGTTTAAAAGTTAATAGTATTTGAAACTCTCAAAGATTACAATCTGTTAACTTGCAATTAGCTAAACTAAGCCTTTTACAATTTTACCTTGTTTTACACTTTCACCGATGAGTTTCATTACATTATCACTACAAAAGTTGCACGACTGGTCCTTACAGTCAGCTTTTAGTAAACCACAATAGCAGTATCTATCATCATTATATACTCTCGGTGGAATATAGACACCTTTGCTTGATTTTTGGGGGCAGGGTTTGTGTTGCTGTTCTGGCAACCAAATTAACATAATGAATTCATGCCGAAATATTTCTTCCCATCTATTCTGATAAGTGGTGTTTGCCTTGAGCCTTAACAAAGCTAAATGTTTTGCTTCTCTGCCCTCCATGGTTACAGTAAGAAGACCTTGGTTATATTTCTCATTAATTGCTGAGCATGAAAGGGCACAACATTCCCAATTGTCCAAATGGTGGGGTTTACAGTAGTAGGAAGAAACAATGCATTAGCACGGTAGTACTCCCGAGCCAACACAGACATAGACATAGACATAGACATAGATACTTTATTATAGCTCCCTAAAAAGGGCTCTTCCGCTACAATTGATAAATACAATATATAAATAATATCTAATTAAAAACAAATTAACTCAATAAGTTCTTTCTGAGTTCATTTCGAAGTCTTTTCTTAAAAAATCTAGTGTTCTCAATTTCCTTAATATCAAGAGGCAGTTCATTATACAGTTTTGCCCCCCGATAGGAAAACATTCTTTGCCCAGTTGCAAGCCTACATTTGGGCAAATTTAAATCATTACAATATCTAGTCGATCTGCTATGTATGGCAGAACGAGGCATAAACTTATCGGATAAATATGCTGGTACTCTGCCATGAAGGCATTTATGGACCATAACGGCATCATTTAGGAATAGTGTGTCCTTTACATTGAGCCATTTCAAAGATTGTATGCCTTCAGAAATATGGTCATATTTCCTGAGTCCCAGAACAATTCTTGCAGCAAAATTCTGCACTAGTTGCAGCTTCTTTACATTTTGTTTAGATGTATTGCTCCATATAGTTGAGCAATAAAATAACTTACTGAAAACAAATACTTCCATCAGGAGGAGAATGGTTTTTTTATCAAGCAAATGTTTGATTCGATTAATTCTTGACAGTTTAAACATGCAATTTGAAACTAATTCCTTAGTATTTTCATTATAGCTAAGATAACGGTCAATACTAACACCTAAGTCTTTGACTACGGGAACAGGATTGATCACCTTTCCTAATATCTTGATGGGTGGTATCGGTGGTAGGTTACGGATCAATTGCGAGACCCCAATTACTTTTTCCGAATTTATTAGAAGCGAGTTTGCACAACACCATCTCGATATCTCATTTAGATCTTCATTCAAATCAGATATAGCGCTGCTAAGATCACGTGGTGGAAAGGCGATGAAAGTTTTTGTATCATCAACATAACCCATAGATTTGCATCTTCTAGGAACTGACAGAATCTCGTTTACGTATACTGTAAATAAAAGTGGTCCCAAAATGGAACCTTGTGGTACACCCACAGACAGAGGCAAAGACATGGAAAGGGTATCTTGTATTTTCACGGTCTGTGTACGTCGGGACAAATAGCTTTCAAACCAGGTTATTGCCGAGTCACCTGCACCTACAATTTGTCAATGTCTACTTGCTTCATGTCAAATCTATTAATAATTGAACAACAATCTCTTAGCCTTAGACCTACATAGTGAAGTGCTAAAATTGTCTGTATCTGTTTACGACTGTCACTAGGTAACTTTAAAAGGGATAAGAGTGTTGAAAAATGGTGGCAGAATGCTCTGGACTCTTTTCCTGTGAACCGATATTGCAAATCATTTTGCCTACATTGGGTTTCGTCAAACCACTTTTTTACTTTCTTAGCTAAACGTCCTACATGAAGTATGTGTTGCAAAGTATTAACAAGTTTTACCAGACAACTATCTTGTGGTAGTTCAGCAAACGTTTTACATGCTACCGAAATCTTAGATTTTGCTATTGCCTCTTTGAGTAACACTTTAAAGAAATAACCCCAAGCATTATTTTTTAAATGTAGGGGCTCCACATGTGCTTTATCAATGAGTTTGCCTAAAAGAGGGGTGAACTCTTGACGGCTCTTATTCTGAGCAATAAATTGAGTTATCTTGTTTCTCTTATTTTGTGCTGACATGACCTTTTTATCAAGTGAAGACTTAAGAGACTCGACCTTCTTCACAACCTTTACCCTTTCCTCAAATACCCAAGGTTTCCATTTGGAATTAGGATCAAGGCTAAGAGTGCCGTCTAGGTCGGTACAATCATTAGTGCTAACATTGGCAAACGTTGAAAAATAAGTAGAAGAATTGCTAAGCTCACCAGCCAGCATCGCTAACATTTTCATGTCGTTTGGGAGTTCTTCAAAACAAAATGTTACGGATAAACCACAAATTTCAAACACTTTCCCCTTCATGTCTGCAATTTGCTTATACACATACTGTGCATATTTTTGACAACAGGCGAACTCTCCTCGACATTGCCTCCAAACACTAAAAAATTGTCACCACTAGACGCGACTCTTTTGCCTGTATTTAAGAAGCTAACAAGAAAAGAACAGGCTGTCTCTGTTTTCCCAAAAGGGCACCCATCTCCCCCAAAAGCTACTAAGAATGTTCCCTCAGTTTCTGCAAACCACTTCAGAGCACCTTTCTGGTTTTTTTGCATGCCGAGATAAAACTTTGCTAGCCTAGGTAAGTATTCCCTAAGATCTCTATAGCACCCCTTTACATTTTCATCTTGAATGTAAGCAGAAAATTGCTCTTCCACTGAGTAAACTTTACCTATATCTATTGCATTAATTTGCTTGCGTAGCTTATTGTATGTAAGTATCTTTGGAATAGGGCAATTGGCTTTAAACTGTATAGAAGTGTTTCCACCTCTTTTGGTATCAGCAGACTTCATACTAGTTGCTAACCTCACAGCCTGATACTTTTTTTTCCCATCACTCCCGCATTGTAATATGTTGCAATGCTTCGTAAAATGTTAGCATTTGAGTTTTCAAATGTTGTTACATCCTTCTTATTGCTGTTATTCATGACATAATTTGCTACTTTACTATCTTTCAGAACATAGTTGCCTAAGGCACTTGTTTTGCACCTTTTTGACAATGTGTCATATAAACCATCAAATGCTGGTTTTGGATTGCTTTTTGTCCCACATGAACCATTAAAGCCATATCAAATGTTTCAGTTCTTCTTCGCTTTAGTGTTACAGGTGCCATTTCGTCAATTTCTAATGTGGTTGGGGACCTGGTACGCATACCTGTCGTAAAGATTAGATTAAACATTAGTTGTATTCAATAATAATTATGACTGTTTTATTCAATCAAAATCAGGGTTTAGCATACACCGTACCATTAGCTGTGCTAGATTTTGTGTTAGCATTGGAAGGTACTTTACACTGTAGATCTTGTTTAGTTTCGGTAATTGCGGTCGCCTGAAAATAATGTAAGAACAAAACAACACATTAAAATCGCATTAATGAAAAAAAATATTCAGTCAGAGGACAGCCTTGAAACTATTTTATTCATTTCGAGGACACTAAAAAAGACAGAAATATTTCAAAAATATTTCTGTTGGCTTGTTAGTCAGCCTTCTTTAAATGGCCATGCTGGTGATTTTGCATGGGACATTTTAGCTCGGCTAACTAGATACTGTGCTTGGATTAACAGTTCCATTTACACGAAACCAGGACAAAGTCAGAGCAATATGAAATCTTGAGAATCTGTCAAGACCGGGCAAGCCTGACGCATAAAGACAGCCTTGACCAAATCATACTATATTTTCAAGCTGAAAACTTCAAAAGACCACTTGCCCTTATATAATTAAAATATTAGAGCTGCCTTGTATATCTGGCTGTATTAAATGCATGAATTAATATACACATATTATTGTGTAAGCAGCTGATGCTGTAACTGCCAATAGACCTGCTATAGCCTAAGTAATGAAAGCTTTTAATTTTATTAGGCCCTATTAAAAACAATGCCGAAAGCAATAACATATTTTTAGGCAAGAGAAATACATGTAGTCTAAATATGGACTGTCAAAAAAATTAATGATGATGAATTACAAGTAACATAATATTCTATATTCATATTGTTGTGAAAAATCCTACCTTTATCTTAAGTCGGTGAATCTGCTGTTGACTATTCTTTATTTCTAGCGATAGCTTGGCTTTTTCCTCGGCCAAAGAATTCTTAAGTTGCTTTTTTGTCCTCATGAAATGGCCAACTGCAAACTTGTTTCGTGCTGGTGGCATTTCTTCTGTATAGTAGCAAAAATAGATTTAGGCCATAAATGAGGAAAATGTCCTGAAAATATTTCCCATATCTGCGCAAGCGAAAGAGTATTTGGGAAAAGTAAAAACATACGTCTCTTACCTGAGTATTTATCCTCACACAGCTGATCTTGTATTTACGATATTTTATCCAACTTTGAATTTTATTGGCGCGAAATATACCCATTCGTAGAGCAACTTAAACCATTTTTCACCATGTAGCTAAACTTCATAAATCAACCCAAATATGCGATGGATGTTTTAGGATTTTCCATAACAAGTTTGGTATCAAACAAAACGTTGAAATCTAGACTTTCCCTCTGGAAATTAGTTGTGGACGATGCATCTATCCCATGAGCACAAGCGCGCTCTAAACTGAGCTATTTTTATCATAACAAGTCATTCCCAGGCTTTTCATTAATGTACGCGGTCGAATTCGAAAATATGGCTTCATCGCGTGACCCAAAATTTGATACAGCTGACCCGACGTGTAAGACATTATTACATAAAATTTTCGAAGCAAGAAAATGTAAAATGCTAGTGTTTATATAAGGACAACTTATATCTTAACAAAACTTAGAACAACGTATATCATATTGCGTCAGGTAAATTTGTAGTTTCGAATTGAAGAAACTATATGACCAGCAGCTCACGGTTGATCAAACAGTAAATGGCCGGCAGTATATTGACTATATAGTTAAAGTTGAATCTTCAGTATAAGATAGATAAACCGATCCCCAATCCCAAACCCTTCTCTAACCCTAACCCCTAACCCTAACATTTTGAGAGTTAGACCGGCTGCCGGTAATATAGTCACTTTGTTTTTATTTCGTTTCCAAAATTTGAGCTCGTTTCAGTTTTATTGGTCGTTGAAGAGAATTTTTGCCCTCCGGAATTTTTATCCAAGCAGGAATAGTTCGCCATAGTTCGCGTATTTACTAAATGCCTGGTACCTAGTTTACCTTTTAGAACGCGGAGCATCGCGGGATAGCGTCGTTTTATATTTTTGTGAAAAATTTTATAATATGTCATAATGGAATTAAAGGCAATTTAAATGGCAAATATCGATGGGAAAAGCATCAGAAAGTCCTTAAAATGTTGTTCAGATACCACAGGTAAGAATAATTGTATATTTGACTTGTTATTTAAACATATTCATTGCGAAATGATGTAGTGATTATGACTGTTTACTTGAGCGAAGTGTGGAAATATTCCATTGAATGTTTGAATTTGCCGCGTTCGTTTTGCATATAAAACATGCAAATGTTGCTTTCAGGCAAGGGACGAAAGATTAAAATATAAATTCAAATCTATTGTTGTGAATTCCGTACTAATTTACGCACTAATATTAAAAATTTGACAATATTAAATTGCCTTTGACATTGGCACTTTGCTAGACCTTTCTCAAGACTCAAGGCTATATAGTGATATGAAATAAGATATTATACATACGGATGTTTTTGAAGATCTGTTAGCATTTTAATACAGGTACTTGAATAAGGATTGGAATTACAGGAGAATGACATCATTTAATCTGACATTTTCAGTGTATAGATAGCTGAATAACTGAATTGCATCCTATACTTCATTGTTTACTCTGTCTAATGCCAGAGGATTTTCCTACTTGCCTTGCCGGATAAGTTGGCTACTGTAGAGAATGTTTAGTTTTCCCGACTTACTATACTTCACCCGGGAAACTCTGCAATCCTAGATAGAATGTATATGCCTTTCATTTAAAATAATAGCCCAAAAATTCATTCAAATCATTAGGTATGTTTATAGCTTTCCTCTATTTCCAGCAGCTTATTCAAGATTGCATATTTTGTAATCATGTTTTTTAAACCTTTTGAATGATCCAAATTGTGTTTGTATTTTGTCATTGTGCAGCAATCATGTGGTAACTTGATTTCATATAAATAGACTGCTTTTTTGTCCTGCCTGAGTGAGTAACTCACCTTGCCCGGTAACTCGCCTACTGATGTACCGATATCCATATTGGTGTATCAGTCATCTTTGAATTTCGTGAAATGACATGGAATATCAGTATCGGCAAAGTATTGGTCTTTTATTATCAGTTATCAGAATATCGGTGAATTTCCATATATCGGTGCATCACTAATACAGTTCAAGATTGTGTTTATATGAGAAAATGCCATCCTGCTCGCCGGGCCAATTTTGTTATGTTGACATTGTTTTGACAGTTGTTAAAAATAGCTTGCAGCTCGGTATCTTTGAACATTCATCCTGGCCCAGCCTGCTTGTGAGTGTATATGTGGAGAAATTTTCATCCCGATAAGCAACATTGTGGCATCAGAGCAACCTCGTACCCAGGACTAGTCGCGAATTGAAGGCGGCGACATAGCCCTGGTAAACGCTGGTCACGTGACTCCAAAATTACGTAATTGTTACTTTTCTCAACCGGGGGGTGAATAGGTGAAACTCGAAGACAAACAGTTTTTATCTCCGAAATTCTTCAATCTTCCTTCTAAATTTTGCACTTCAAGCTTTTCTCAAAGTACGGCGATCGATCAAATGGATCAATACTTTCTGTAGAAAAAACTCAGTGAGATTTGTTCGCATGAGACGTTTAAAAGACATGGATAAGTCGCCAAAGACGCTCGATCATTGCACAGGTTTATGGAATAGTACTTTGTTCATTTTGTTGCGACTTATGCAAATTTAACTGTTGTATAATGACTAAAAGTTGGTTTGTAGAGGGACAACTTATACAAAAGATATGAATACATTAGCTTTAAACAGGGACAAGTTCATGGACAATGGACATCCCTAATATATGGACATTGATATTTCACCAATATGTAAATATGACTATTAAATATATAAAAGGATTCCTGTTGTATTACTTGTATATGTATATGTACAAGTGTTGTGCTGTGGTATCTATGGACTAGAATTTCTGAGGGGGTTGAAAAAGCCGCTTCTGAGGGGTTGTGTGCATCGGCATGACGGCATCCTTTGATCTTTGCATTTTTTCTGAGGGATAAGGCAAAAATTTCTTAATTTCTGGGGGGTGTTGGTGTCGGCACTTTGATCTTTTTTTCTTAGGGGTTCAAATTTTATTGAACTCGTCCATAGGGGGTGTATACATTAATTAATGGAATGGCCCAATGCACCCAGATGCACCCTACTTTGTTAGTTTACTCTGTCTAACGCCAGACAATTTTACTCGTCAGGTGGAGGGTGCATGGCGCCATTCAATGGGTTAACATAGTCGATGAACATGCCAAATGATCCTTGACCGTGGTAGTACATTTTTGCACTTGCTGGATGATATTGCAACGAAGCATTGTTTCAGAGGAAGAGCACTGAGATCATGCTGTGTAGCAATTGGAATCTCACATAGAGCCTGCTCTCACATAAAGCAGGCAAGACCTTCACTCAGAAGCCAGTCCTGATTAATATTAATTCCCCACATAAACACTTGGAAACCAGACTGTCCCATCTGCCATATGCAGGACAAAAAAACATGCAGCCTGGACTTTAACTGTTAAACAACCAAATCAGCATGATAAACAGTGTGATGATTTTTGTTTAGCCCAAACCAAAGCCAGGTTTCTAGAATTAATTTGCAGAATCCTAAGAATTGGACCTCCAACTTGAAGAGCTAGCTGTGCTAACCAAGTTGCATGGGCAACCCTAAATTTACGTGACTAGAGCAAACCTTCAAAAAATAATAGAGAGATCAGATTTGACTTCCACTGCTATTGCTACCATTAACTAGATAAGTTTCGTTTATCCAATCGGATGCAACTGCCAGATCAAGTAGTGGTAGTGGAAGTCAAATTTGAACCTTTCTATATGGATTTCAGAGAGACCAGTTATTATTTGCTGATATATTATTATAACTTGTTTAATCAAAAGCTACTATATATTAATTTATGATATTAAAAATTGATATAATTTTATCTATAAAGTGAGAATAATTTTAAAAAAATATTCATAACATAAAATGATTCATGCATGCTGGTGATCGAATAAACCATGAAGTGTGCATTCTGAATCTCTACAAATTCCTTGACATTATTTTTCCAGTACAGTGTAAAACTATATATATATAAATGTGACACAGGTTGCAGGTATTAGGTTGCATGTCCACCAGTGTGCTGAAATACCATCCAGTGACCCGGTCTTGTTCATTGTTACTTGCATCTTGCTTAATTCAACTGTTTTTGCCCCATTTCTTGTACCCATTAAGTTCTTTTCAATAAGCTAGAAAACTTCAAAATCATTCAGTAAATTTAATTTTAAAATTGGGTGAAAGGCAAGGGGTCAATAATAGATGAAGAAATCATTTCTTATTGTTCATACATATGGCCCCATCTCTGTAGGGTATTAGAGTAGAAATTTATTGAAGCCTGAAGTCAGAAAATAAATATGGCAACAAGGTTACATGCCATACTGCAGAGTTAGGCAATTTTTTTAAAGATCTCAAGGGCACAAAAGGTATAAATATAGATTGTAGGGGCAAGGGAACAAAATAATGAAATTGTGAGATTCGGGGGCAGGTTTTACAATGGGGTGCTAAAATTTTTCCCTAAAAAATCCCTGACCAGCTGGAGTGCTGAAACTGATGTTTGACTATTGAAATATCCTAGCAGGTTAGGTTCATCAGATTTCAGCTTTGTCAACCTGGCCACTCTGTTATTACAGTAATGGCTCATTTAAATAATTTCAGGTCATTACTGTAAATGTAAATACAAAGTGTTTGAAGTTTAATAATACTGCTGTAAAATGTAGTTTAATAATATTGTATTAAAGTGTAAACACGTTTCTCAAGTCTGGCCATGTGTTTCTCAATATTCACAAATATATTTAACTACAATTGTACAAATTCAACCATATTTAATAACATACTGTATGAAATATATTACAGTAAATAGCCTTCGAAATATATATTTCATAGAGCTAGACAGTGTATAAACAAATAATGGGAATCTGCTAAATAATTTGTAATAATGAAA